CATAAAATGAAGTCTTTTTCTATATAATAAAAAAAAAATCAAAAAACCCATAGTTGCCATCGAGCCTTGTACCTACAACTTCATTGGTCAAACTATTAATAATATAGAGATTATATTAGATTGATCTGAAATGATATAATCATTAGAGTCCGACTATCATGTAGATGTATGTGTGATTGTAAATCGTTAATACATTCTTTTTATAAAAAAAAATTTTGTTGAAGATAAAATAATTGAATTATCCCTAACTAATTAACTTAGAATATTAGGAAACATATTTATATTTTGAATAATACAAGATGTACAAATTCTCAAGGTATAACTTAATTAATTGTATAAATATATAGCTTTAATAAAATATATATAACAAAGTGAACAATTACATGCTAATTGATGCAAAACAAAACATTATTTAACATTAAATATTAATAGAACTTTTATTAAACTTTTTAATGATATAGTTTGTTGTGGCTCTAATTAAATGTTAATAACCTATTATCCATGACAAATTAATTCATATTGTTATCATTCCAATGATAAGTTTGGAGCGTTAGACTAGTATTTATAAGTTTAAAAATATTCTATAAATTAGAAAATACATTTTGATAAAAAACTAATAATAACAGTGTTGATACAGAAATCTGTACCAACCAGAGAATTCCGATTGACTATGTCGGAACCGGAATGGATATGTACGTGATTTAATGAAAATCAGCAATGAATAAAAAAGAAAGAGTCATAAATAAGAACACAAGACAATTTTTAAAGTGGTTCGGCAAGTTAGAACTTGAGCCTACGTCCACTGTTATTGTATTGCTTTTGAGAGCTTACAAAGAACAGTATAATTTCTAGGAAAATTTGCTTAGAACAATTCTCTAGCCCCCCTGAAAACAAGTTATGATGAGTTTATATAGAACTCATTTATATGATAGAGTTTAGATAAGATTCAAATATGTAGGATTAGGAAGTTGCATGATCTTCGGCTATCTTAGTTGGAATCTAAGTCAATCTGAATATCATTATTCCAAATTGAGCCAATCTAAATATCTTCTCTCATAATAAAGAATTATTCTCTCCAGATTTCACGCAAAAAAATAGCCTCCCAATTTTTGGAGTACGTAATCACGCTTCAAAAACTCATGTCTTTAACCTGGATGGCTGTCGCACTATAGGCTGTTGTCTCAAACTGAAGAACTTGAGTTATTTGTGGCGTGATCTAAGAGATCTGAGAGATCTTGGACATGTGATCTTAAGCAAATGAGCGAGCTTATGAGCTTAATCATGGAGCATAAAGAGCTCGATCTGAGAATATAAAAAGCTCGATTAGAGAGCATAAATATCTGAGAGTACAAGGAGTTCGATTAGAAAGTGTGAAGAGCTTGATCTAAGAGCATAGCTTGATTAAAAAGCATGAAGAGTTTGATCTGAAAGCATAGCTCTATTAGAAAGCATGAAGAGCTTGATCTGAGAGCATTGCTCGATCAACAAGCATAGAGAGCTTGATCTGAGAGCATAGCTCAATCAGAAAGCATGGAAAACTTGATCTGAGAGCATAACTCGATCAGAAAGCTTGAAAAACTTGATCTGAGAGCATAGCTCGATCAAAAAGCATAGACAACTTGGTTTGAGAGCATAGCTCGATCAGAAAGCATGGAGAGCTTGATTTGAGAGGATTGCTCAATCAGAAAGCGTGGAGAGCTTGATCTGAGAGCATAGCTCAATCAGAAAGCATGAAGAGCTTGATCTGAGAGCATTGCTTGATCATAAAGCGTTGAGAGCTTGATCTGAGAGCATTGCTCGATCAGAAAACTTGAAGAGCTTGATTTAAGAGCATTGCTCAATCAGAAAGTATGAAGAGCTTGATCTGAGAGCATTGCTCGATCAGAAAGCATGGGAAGCTTGATCTGTAAGCATTGCTCGATTAGAAAGCATGGAGAGTTTGATCTGGAAGCATTGCTCGATCAGAAAGCATGAAGAGCTTGATCTGAGAGCATAGCTTGATCATAAAGTATGGGAAGCTTGATCTGAGAGCATAGCTTGATCAGAAAGCATGGAGAGCTTGATCTGAGAGCATTGCTTGATGAAAAAGCATGGAGAGCTTGATCTGAGAGTATAGCTCGATCTAAAAGCATGACTCGATTTAAAAGCATGGAGAGCTTGATCTAAGAGCATTGCTTGATCAGAAAGCTTGGAGAGCTTGAGAGCTAAAAAGCTAGCTTGGGAGCTAGAGAGCTTGAGAGCTTGATAGCTTGGGAGCTAGAGAGCTAACTTGAGAGTTTGGTAGCTTGGAGCTTGAGAGCTCTTTCTAATCTAAGAGATTTGAGCACGTAATCTGAGCGATTTGGCCACGTGATCTGAAGCTGAAGATCACAGTGATCTAAGTGCGCAATCTGAGTGATATGGCCACGCAATCTGAGAGCCCTGATTTGGAACATGTTTCAGTATTTTGATAATAACTTGAGCCCCAGACCTCGGATTTGGATGATTCTTAGACCTTCGAAAAGCTAACTTAAAGGGCTACAATTCTTGTATTTACTGTTTAGCCAGATTCAGACTTTATCCTGCTCAGATTTTCACATTTGATAACATGATTCTAGATTAAGAAGCTGGGATTTGCTGAAGAAGTTGAGACTTGCTAGAAAAACATGGAGAGCTTATGTGAATTAGGCCCTCCTTCTAGCGCCAAAATATTGATATAGAAATCTGCACTAACCAGAGAATTCTGATTGACCCTGTTGGAACCATAATGGATGTGTGTATGATTTAATGAAAATCAGCAATGAATAAAAAAGAAAGAGTCATAAATAAGAACACAGACAATTTTTAAAGTGGTTCGGTAAGTTAGAACTTGAGCTTACGTCCACTGTTATCTTATTGCTTTTGAGAGCTTACAAAAAATAATATAATTTCTAGGAAAATTTGCTTAGAACAATTGCCTAGCCCCCCTGAAAACAGGTTATGACGGGTTTATATAGCACCCATTTATATGATAGAGTTGAGATAAGATTCAAATACGTAGGATTAGGAAGTTGCATGATCTTCGACTACCTTAGTTGGAATCTAAGTCAATCTGAATATCATTATTCCAAATTGAGCCAATCTAAATATCTTCTCTCCTAATAAGGGATTATCCTCTCTGGATTTCATGCACAATAAACAATTATTAAAAAAAAAAAAAAAAACAAACATCGACAATGTGGTTAAAGTTTGACACTATTGTTACCAAAAATTAGTGTTAAAGTCAAGACCATGAACTGTATTGATCAACATATTTGACAAATAATGATAGATGCAAGTTTTTATTTTTTTATTTTTTTTTATTTTTTATGATTGAAGTTTTATAGTTAGTTTGTATGCATTATAACTAGAGGTGAAACAAATGTGTTGTGTTAGGCGGGTCAACCCTAACCCGGCCCGCAATTAAGAGGGTTCAACCCGCCAGCAGCCCTCGGGTGGGCCGGGTTGCTATATGGCAACCCGCCAAGCCGGCGAGTTGCTATTTGTTTGCAATAGCCAACCCGGCGGGTTGGCCCAAAAAAAAATTAAAAAAATTAATTATTTTTTTCAAGTTTCTCCCATTTTTTTAATTATTTTAATTAAACTATTATGATTGAACTTTTACAAATAATTTTACATCATAATATTAAACTATATTTCTAAATCATAATATTAAAATGTATAAAACTTCGTAATATTTGACATATTGTTATTATTATTTTTTTTGGTACGTAAAATATAAAAAAATTAAATACTGAAGTCTTATTCTCAAATTTCTATGTCTTATATAAAATATAATTAATTCTTATGCTAAAGTTTCATCAATTGAATGAATAAATCTAATTTTTCTTATATTACAATTTTATTGTATTAAAACTGAATTAATATTTGAAATGTTAATAAAAAAATTAATTTAATTTAATTATTGATATTTGAAAAGTTAACTAAAAACAATTACATTTATTCATTTATAAATCTTTAATTATTTATTTGAAAAGTTAACTAAATAAAACAAAAAAAAAAAAATAAAAAAAAGGGGTTAACTCGGCCCGACCCGCAGCCTAACCTGGTGGGTTAGGGTTGGCGGGCTAGCCATTCTCCCAAAAATGGCGGGCCAAACCCGGCCTGCCTTTGTTGGCAGGCGAGTTAGGCCCAACACGCCAAAAGCAGTAACCAGTCGGGTCGGGTCGGGTCGGGCATAGCGGGTTACTTTTCCAACTCTAATTATAACTAATTCTTGAAGTCTATTAAATACCTTACAAATTTAATATATTAACGTAACTCACAAATATGATATCTATGGCCTATTGTAAGTTTAATGACTAAAGACTATATTCCACACAAAGATTTGTTATGGCATTACGTTTTTCTCTATTTTTTCATGACCAAAACCTATAATATATCATCAGTATTATCACTAGTAAATAAATCGTTTATCACGACCAATTCCATATCAATATCGGTTTTTAGTGATAATTATTTTATTTTATTTATCTCGACAATAGAGTTTGAGATATTTAATAATTTAATTTTTTTTTTTAATTTAACATATAAATAACCCTTAGTTGAGAGTTTTTCTTATTTTTTAACTAATAGTAACTAACAAATGCTTCTTTTGATTTTTCGTGGGTCGCATCATGTGGCACCAATCCAACAAGTGGGCCCTTACATGGCGAAATTCTGATAGATCAGGACCAGGAACCCAGAATGCAGCAGCAAGCACATGATCAATCACTCTGAAGGGAGAAAAATCCATTACGATTTACGAGCCCCTGTCCGTTAGTACATAATAATTTTTTCTTTTATCACAATCACAATCACAATCACACTTGCATACACTCTCTCCTTCGTCATCTACGAATTTTCACGATTCAAGCCCTAGGCCGCTGAATTTGATCGATCTAAGTCAATCTAAATTTCATTTCCGTTCTGTTTTCCGATCAGATCTCGAATTTTTCTCCAAATCAACCACGATTCCGACGTCGTTTTGATTCATAGAGAAAATGCCGTCGGTGTACGGAGCACGAATGACCACTTTTGAAGATTCAGAGAAGGAGAGTGAGTATGGATACGTTCGCAAGGTAAGGAAACGAAGTCTTCTACGATCTGTCTGTTTTGTTATGTTCTGTATCTGGAAGCTGAATTTGAACTGATTTTGCTGTTTTTAAACTCAATTTTATTTCGATTGATTTTTTGATCTGTTGGTTAATGGTCACTGATTTGGATAGTGTTCGAAGTTAAAATTGGAGTAATCAGATTGGTTCAATTTTGATTCCTTGGTTACTTTGATCTGATTTCTGCCGTGTGTTGATTCATTAGAGTTTTTTAATGGTTTCATTTATAGCTTTTTGAATTTGAGTAATTTGCGGCTTGTTAATTTTTCTTTGGAAATATTATTGATAGTATGAGTCATTGCAAAGTGTTTGAGTGAAAAATGATTGATTAGTTAATCTCTGAATTGTTGTAAGTTTGTTTTAGTTTATAAATCTTACTGAATATTAATACATTTGTTTAAAGTTACATTCCTAATTGTTTGGTTCATCATCGGAAGCTACTTTTGGAACTCATTGAAGTTTTTACTGAAATCTAAAATAAATGGTTGATTCTTAATATTATTTGGCATCTTGAAGAATTTGTGGAAATTCATTTTTGGGCTGCTGTATGTTATTTTGATATCATTCCTTGGGAAACTTTATTTTGCTTATTACCATGGTTTAAAGATTTGTTGTACTTTTATTCATGTTATTGCTGTCATAAATACTATTGAACAGGTATCAGGACCTGTGGTGGTTGCTGATGGCATGGCTGGTGCTGCTATGTATGAATTAGTTCGTGTTGGACATGACAATTTGATTGGTGAAATCATTCGGTTGGAAGGAGATTCTGCAACAATTCAAGGTTTCCTTTTTTGTTTAAGCACTGCTATGATTTCTTCATTACTGAAGAAGTCATTTGAATTTCTAGTTGGTATTGTGTCTTCTATTGAAATCAATTTGGCATCAAAATTGACAAGAAAGTTTTTTATGAATTTCTATTTCAGTTTATGAAGAAACTGCTGGCTTGACTGTGAATGACCCTGTTCTACGGACACACAAGGTAATTTAAGTATTCTTTGTTTGAGTTTTTTTCTGGACTGTGAGTTGACTGCATTAGCTTACATATATATCTTGATGTTACAGCCTCTGTCAGTTGAATTAGGACCTGGAATATTGGGAAATATTTTTGATGGCATTCAGGTTTGGTGCTAAACTTCTGTTATTCTCCTTTAATGTTACTACTGCAACTTCAGAAGCAACATTTCTTCTTGCCTATTTGTTGTTTCTAATATCTTTATATATATAATCAAAATAGAGGCCATTGAAAACTATTGCAAAGAGATCTGGTGATGTCTACATCCCTCGTGGTGTCTCTGTCCCAGCCCTTGATAAAGATACACTCTGGGAATTTCAGCCCAAAAAGATAGGTAATTGAAGAAAAATCAATTACTGCTGTATTTTTTTAGCAATTACTGTATTTGGTTGTAAATCTGATTTTTTGTTGTTTGATATGCTCAAATTCTATTTTATTTACTGATTTCAGGTGAGGGAGATCTTCTAACTGGCGGAGACTTATATGCTGTAAGTTTATTAGCTTTGAAATCTATTCTATAGTAGTCCCTTATGGAAAATATCACTCTTTTCATTTTTGCATTGAGATTTATCTAAGTCTTCTGCATGGATATCTTTTGATGCAGACTGTCTTTGAGAATAGTCTTATGCAGCACCATGTTGCACTTCCTCCTGATGCTATGGGAAAAGTCACTTACGTTGCATCTCCTGGGCAATATTCGTTGAAGGTTTATTATTTAACCTTTTATCTTTTGTTGTAATCCATCATTTATAGGTCTATATACCTGTCTTAAAATCTAGATATGCTTAATCCATGTTCTCTGTAATATATGCTATAGTTTTTAAATGTATGCCTTTAGACTTAGCCACATTACCTGGTATACATATGTTGGGATGCATTATATCTGTTGGAGAATGATTCTCAAGTTGATGTTTATACATTTGCAAGTACGTCTCTGCTAGGATAATTTAAACAATCCTGGAGTAGAATCTATGTACTACTGAAATCTAATTCTCCTTGTAATGATATGAGGAGACACCTAGCTTATTGAATTTGCCTTGTTAAAGTTGTTGACTGATCCAAAACATGAGTAGAGTATCTACGGCAAAAACTGGCCTGATAAATGACCCGGAAAGGCTTATAGTTAAATGAATGTAAGTATTTTTTGCACTCAGTGCATCTTTTGCCTATTGTCTAAGTTACATAGCTAGTCTAAATGAGAAAAAAAGATAATATACACATATATATATATTTTTTTTAAAGAGAGAGAGAGAGAGAGAGAGAGAGAGAGAGAGAGAGAGGAGAGAAAATGACAGGGAGCTGCATCTAATGTTAGAACCTCTAAATCAGATATTATGTAAACAAAGTTCTAGATGTACCTGAAAGTCGAATTGATTCTGAATGTAGCAATTGTTTTAGTTATTAAATATTATTCTGTTTAGCTACACTATTGGTTTGAATGGGATAACATCAGCCTTAGTTGATTTGAAGAAGAATATTGTAGGTCTTTCACAATGCAAAGAAGTACACTGTCTTTCTGCAGTAATACTAGCTCTGAGCCTCTTAACAGCCATTCCTTCTCATTTATGGTGACCCAGTATAATGCTAAAGTTGTTTATGGCTTTTTGTCTGGTTACCATGGAATTGTGCTGTAAGCTAAACTTGGAAAGTGCCAAACATTATCTGAAACTGAATAGGATGGCTTTAGCCATTTGTTTTCCTCTCAATACTTGTAAAATTTTAGAAGTTGTTATAATGCATTGATTATTTCTAGGAAGGCATACTCTGACTTCTGTAAATTTGCAGGATACTGTGCTAGAGCTTGAATTTCAAGGGGTCAAGAAGAAGTTCACTATGCTCCAAGTATGGAACTTTGTTCTTATGTTTACAATTCCAGAGCCTAATTTCATGTATTAAATAAATTGCTAATTTGAAATTCTTGGTTTGCAGAGTTGGCCTGTACGTACACCAAGGCCAGTTGCATCAAAGCTTGCTGCTGATACCCCACTACTTACTGGGCAGGTAAATATTTAATGGAGTAAATATAGTGATTGCTTCTTCTCTGACTGTTTTCTTTTGATGATGAGCATTAATGACAACTTTGTTCCTTCTCAGCGTGTTCTTGATGCCCTTTTCCCTTCAGTTCTTGGTGGAACTTGTGCCATTCCTGGGGCATTTGGTTGTGGGAAAACTGTTATTAGTCAAGCTCTTTCTAAGGTAGTCTGGCATATCTGCATTTTGGTCTTGCTTTGATTTTTGTGTAATGGGATAATGATTTATTAATGGGTATTCTTTTCTGAGGAACAAATTTATAGGTTATGTGATTTTTTTTCCCTTTTTGTTATGTGCAGTACTCCAACTCTGATACAGTTGTTTATGTTGGTTGTGGGGAGCGAGGAAATGAAATGGCAGAGGTACATGCTACTGTCAATTTGATTATTACTTATTAATTTATGATTTCTTGTGGATTTTGAATCAAGGTCACCAATCATTTAGGTCCTTATGGATTTTCCACAATTAACAATGACATTGCCTGATGGCCGTGAAGAATCTGTCATGAAGCGCACAACACTTGTAGCCAACACTTCTAATATGCCTGTGGCTGCTCGTGAGGCTTCAATTTATACAGGTAAACGCTAGATATCCAGTCATGCACAAAATCATTATGCATTAGATACTTGGTTGATGAGTATTCAGAAAAAGGAGTTTACTTGTTTCATATTGATAATCAAGAGTAGCTTTGGTATAGCCGTTGCCAATATTGACACATCAATAGGTATAGAAACTTGAATTAACTTGTCATGATGTGCATTTTGTTGATACTGTTCCTCCTGCTATTCTTGAATGACAGGAATCACCATAGCTGAATACTTCAGAGATATGGGATACAATGTTAGTATGATGGCTGATTCAACTTCTCGTTGGGCAGAAGCATTGCGTGAAATTTCAGGTCGTTTGGTAAGTCTCTTGTTGGTTTGAAGCTTTGCTTGTTATGATTGTTATATGTGGAACCATTATCAGTGTCTTGGATGGTAAGTGCCAAAATTAAATGGCAACAGTGCAGCAATGACTGGATGCTTGTATGGTTGTATTTATTTTGCCCTTTGCTTAATAATGTTTGATGGAAGTACAATTATCATTCAAGTTTTGTGGGAAACTAGCATAGTATTTGTTAGTGAATTCTCCATCTGCTAACATCATGATGCTAATGCCATTGGCAGTAATAGAAAGAGGCACTGGTACCAATTAGTGTGCTTTTAGTTTCGATTAATTGGTTCATGGTGTTGATTCATTGAGTCACTTTGCTAAGAAGACTTCTGCATTCTAATTAAACTGAGCAGGGAAGCTTACTGTTTTTTGAGTGAAGAATAATAATTCTGTCTGTTACCTCTAAAATCTTAAAAAAAATGCGCAAAATTTTCATTCTCTTGGATCTAGAGAACGCTGTAGTCTTTCTGTCATTTAATTTTTTTATTTGCTTTTGCAATATCTGTTGTAGTAGTTTCAGTTTTCAATGGGTACTGGATATTTATTTTGTATCTTGAAGGCTTATAGATGAAATTGTCAATTGTTGGATTTGTTGTGATATTTGAAGATCCTGCAAATTTTTTTTTTTTTTGTAAAAGTTTGATTGGGTACCTAGCAGAATTTTTGGTATCATTGCTTATTATGAAGATTCATATCTGTGAGTATCCAAGGTGAAACCATTCATCTTCTTAATATTTCCACCAATCCATTCAATGTTTGAAGTGGCATATAATGTTCTGTACTTCCATTTCAGCTGGAAATTTTGGTTTGGTATAAACTTTTTTGTTAATTTGGTTGAATTTAAGCATTCAGTCATCTATCTACTATTTTTTTGAACTCAAATTCTATTGTCATTCTTTTTGTGTGACATTTGGACATTGTATTATGAATTTAGCTCGTTCTAATGGTAGTTCTCATGCTTTCTCTGACAGGCAGAAATGCCTGCTGATAGTGGATATCCTGCTTATCTGGCAGCACGTTTGGCCTCATTTTATGAACGTGCTGGAAAAGTAAAATGTCTTGGTGGACCAGAACGTACTGGCAGTGTCACCATTGTTGGTGCTGTTTCTCCTCCTGGTGGAGATTTTTCGGATCCTGTGACCTCTGCAACCCTCAGTATTGTCCAGGTAAATATAAAATTATTTGTATCATTTGTATAATACTTCTTCACATGAAAACAAAACCATAGAGTACCTCTTCAATCTGCATTGGAAGTAACCACTGCTTCCTCATATGCCTATCATCCACAACTTGACATCGCCAAATGATTAAATTTCATGGATAATATTCATTGGTGGACTAAATTCTATACTATATTTTCCGTGTTTGCTGGTGTCTGTTCTGTATTGAATGAACTTATTTTCTCCTTGTTCTTCACTAATTTCAATTTTTTTGTGTAGGTTTTCTGGGGTCTGGACAAGAAACTTGCCCAGAGAAAGCATTTCCCCTCTGTGAACTGGCTTATTTCCTACTCTAAGTATTCAACAGTATGTTCTTAAATCTGTTACTTCTTTTCTGAGTCTTAGAACATTCATTACCCCCTTTGTTGCAGTTTTCACCACTCCTTTGGTCAGTGCTATTGGTCCTATATATTTATTAGCTTGTTTCTGTTAACTTTTCAGGCATTGGAGTCTTTCTATGATCAATTTGATCCTGATTTTATTAACATCAGGACAAAGGCCCGAGAAGTGCTGCAGAGAGAAGATGACCTGAATGAAATTGTGCAAGTATGTTACTATTGTCCTTATTTCTTTTACAACTTAACTCATGCATTTCCCAGATGAAATGGAATTAAGCTATGTAGGTTAGCTGTTCCAAGTAATAAGAGAGAGATCTTGTCAGCTATAGAAACTGGGTTTTTTAGTTTAGGAGCATTATAGATATGGCATAGCTCTGCACTCTTTTCTGTTTCCTGGAACACAACCAATATAGAAACAAGTGTACAGAGTGATCATGTTGCTCTCTTGTGCTCCCAAATTTTACCAAATAGATTTTAGACCTGTCCTACTTTGTTTTCTGTTCTTGGAAATTATGTGCAGTAAATTTCAGTGGTTTCCATTGTCCTATCTCTGATATCAATTGATGTTTTGATTGCTGCAGCTTGTAGGAAAGGATGCTTTGGCTGAAGGAGATAAAATTACCCTAGAGACTGCTAAGCTTTTGAGGGAGGATTATCTTGCTCAAAATGCATTTACTCCGTAAGTCCTGCAGTATTTAAGCTTTGTAGATCTGTCCTGGTGATCATTTCATTGTTACTAACATGTTGGTGTTAACTGATTATAATAACTCTTGCATATAATCTTATTCTTTTCTTTTCTTCTTTTCCTTTTTGACTGCAACAGATATGATAAATTCTGCCCTTTCTACAAGTCTGTTTGGATGATGCGCAACATAATCCATTTCTATAATTTGGCCAATCAGGTAGAGTATCCACGTGCTGTTTCTTAACTTCTGATCTACTGTTTTTCCTTCATGGATCTCGATCCTCCATGTAATCCTGATAGATTGGATTTTTAGCGGATTGAAATTTCTTTTTCCTGGTTCATTATCACCCTTTTGGTCATTCGAAGGAATTTAGTGAGAGGACGGAAATGTGAATGCTCCTTAATCTATTAAGCGTACTGTTTATTTCTCTTTTTGTGCTTGTATTTAATGGAATGAGATGAATAGGTTGAGTGTTCTCCATTCTTTTTCATTAGGTTCAGTAGCTTTAGCTAATCTTTGATGCAATAGCTGTCAAACTGATTGACAAAGAGCTTTTTAACTTGGTCATGGCTTTTTATGTTGTTGAAATTGAATTTATTTATAGGCTGTAGAGAAAGGAGCTGGTATGGATGGTCAGAAGATAACTTACAGCCTTATCAAGCACCGGCTGGGGGATCTATTTTACCGATTAGTGTAAGTAATTCGTACTGATAATAGTGTAAATATAAATACATGAAAAAACATTATTCGATGCTGGTTTAAGGATAATATGTCTTAATCTGCGGAAATATTGAAATTGCAGGTCCCAGAAGTTTGAGGACCCAGCAGAAGGAGAAGCAGCCCTTGTGGAAAAATTCAGCAAGCTGCATGAGGATCTGACTGCTGGTTTCCGTGCCCTAGAGGATGAAACTCGATGATTTGATGTTTCAAATTCAATTTTTCATAATCCCAGTGGCAGCTCCGACCCTGCAACTACAATACTTGGTTTCCCGAAATTTCACCATACACCAAACCAAAATTTGGCAAGTCCAGGTCTGGGTCTGGGTCCATATATGTCACTTTCCGGTACTTGTTTGGTCTTTTAGTTGCAGTGTGGCTACCTTTGATTTAGTATGTATTCCTGTCATTCCCGTTAGTTCTTTTTTTGACAACCAATTAAATCAAATCGTTATTTATGTATTTATACAATAAGGTGTCTATTGAGTTGTGCTCATCTGTATGGTTTTTGGTTTTACCGATGCTTGGGAAAATTGCTTTCTTATTCCCTCACTTCATCTCCTTTTCCCGAATGGAATAAAAGCAGAATAGACAGAAGCTGCAAATTGTTTCATAGAAATATAAGGTGTATCTTGTCATTGCTTTCAGTGCTGAGTTTGCTCACAACAATTTTTGCTTTCTGGCCCTTTCCATACCATTCAATTGATGCATTTACCTGTCTAATTGCTGCCATTGGTGGTTTAGAAATTCGAAAATATTGATGTGCATGTACAAGACCTGCTCCTTTCTTTTGTTTGTGTTGTAAATATTAAAAAACCAAACTGCGAAATTTCCTTGCCAAATGGGTCCTCCATTACACACCTTCTAGCTTTGATTTTATCCTTTCATGTCACGGCAAAATGCAAATTATGGAATGTTTGCTCTTCTTCTTCAAGATTTGTAAGGCTCTTAATTATGCACCTCCCACCACCCACCCACTCAACACCCCCTCCCCGTCTCAAAGGCAACTATAGGTGGCCATAGGCAATGTTTTAATAACCAATCCGAGGATTGAAACTCCGCGACCGGGACCTGACAATTTTTTAAATCAAGCAAGTACACTCTTGAAAATCACAATGTAGTCTATATAAGTTTGAAATTTAGCAAATATACGCCAAATACAAATTGACCGGTGACTGGTTGGTGGCAACGACTACAACACCCCAAATGCAATCTAGTCATCCCTTGAGTCCATTCCCCAGAAAATCTATTCAAGATCTGGCTGAAATCGGTTGGCTAGATCTCATTGACGCTAACATCTACATTCCAGGCTGGATTTCATCGACGTCGACAACCCTCCCTATCACCCTGAAAATACTTATCTCTTCCTCCTAACCAAAACCCATTTCACCCCACCCTCGTTAGCCTAGCCAATCACCGGCAAAAGCCGGCTGTTCTCATCGCAAGTTTTTTCAATTTTCGGTTAATTTACTCACCGGATATCAACTTCGGCACCACCATTGTACTTACTGACACTCTTTCTTTAAAAGCCTCAACATCCCGACATTCAATTGTTTGCCGATCATCATCCCAAATTTTAGAGTTTTGGATGAATGGGGAAAATGTTAATCCGGCCTGGTGAAGCTCCCGAGTCCCGGTTAAACTGGCTGAGCCGGGCTAGGTTTTAAAACAATGGCCATAGAATTTTAGAAGGTGACACTAAAGTATTGTATTTGAAAATTAATATGAAAATAAGAAATAAAAAAATTGATTTTGTATTCTTAAAATGTAGAAATGGGTTCATATTAGAAATTAACGTAAAAGCTTATGTGAGTTCCAAATTGTGATATTAATATTTGTAATTGTGAGTCTGCCCAATTAGGACTCCTGTGATCTTTGAACATCTCCTAATTGTGGGATTAATGCAAAGTGCTGTTTTAATTTTGACTTTTTACAGTATAGAAATAAAATTCCCACTTAATGAAGAGCCGTGAGATGAGATCTGTTGGCAAATTGGAGTCTTTATCAAACTGTTCAGTGTGACATTTGATAGTATGAACCATAATGCATGGTAAGTGTCATGAAATCATTTTTCAGAAACCCATAATTTTCATTATTTTTTTATTCTTATAATTTTAATAAATTTTTGACTTGATTATATTAGAGAAAATAAAAAGATCTTTAAAAATTCACTTGTTATTAAATTTTTTGACTTGATTATATTACAAATTGATGGGATAACATAACATATTTAAGTACGGCGTTGGTTAAGCAAAGGGTATATATTTTCATAGAAAATTACACACGATGAGCTACTGGATGAAGTTTCTTGTGTTGATAAAGCTTTACCCAATTGAAATTGATGATGTGAATTTTTTATTGGTGAGTTCAGGAGAAAAAGTCCTCCATTGATTGTGCATCAGCAAACAGGAGTGTGATGGGAATGAAACCTGGTTGATTGAGTCCTCAACATAGGGTGGTAATTGTATTGTTTGTTTCAGATCCTCTACATAATATTGTGTTTTTCATAACTTCATTGTTGTCTAGTCTAAAGTTCTATTTTATTTTGGGTTTTTGCTTTTTCTTGTTCGGCCATCTTCGCATGAAAAAACTTGACAAGGGCTTGAAGGGAGATGTCAGCGTCAGTACTCTTCATCAGCTCCCCTGCTACTTCTGCAGGCGTAACCTCCACCTCCATTATCAGCTCTTCAATTTGCTCAAAAAGATGATGGTGGCTTATTCCCAGATAACTAAAGGCAAGTTGCTTGAATACTGAAGCAGTGCAGTATGACATGTTGATATGCATGTCCATGCGACCGGGTCTCAGCAATGCAGGGTCTAGTCTTTCTTTATGATTCGTTGTGAAAATAATGATGCGCTCATCGCCACAGCATGACCATAGGCCGTCAATAAAATTGAGAAGTCCTGAGAGTGTAACCTGTCAAAAATGTCAAGACCAAATACTAGTCCTCAAATTGGTTTATGAATATAACAAAAGGTTATTATAACATTTATGCTTTGAATATTATTTTAATGCTACTAACCTTATTCTCTCCTTGATTTCCGGATAGATCCTCTGATTCACGATTTTTCAGATTGATAGAGCAGTCAATGTCCTCTATGACAAGTATAGATCTGCTTGGCATGCTAAGCAACAAAAATCGAAGACTTGAATTGCATTGGACATCTGTTAAATCCAAGTCATAGATGTCAAATTTCAAGTGATTAGCCATGGCTGCTATCAAGCTTGACTTGCCTGTGCCTGGAGGTCCATATAGTAAGTATCCACGTTTCCAGGTTTTTCCAATTCTTCTGTAGTATTCCTTCCCATTCGTGAAGTTGTCCAGATCTTCTATGAGAGTCTTCTTCAGCTCTGGATCCAGAGCAAGCGTCTTGAAGGTCATTGGGTGTTTAAGCACGACCTGATTTACATCCCAACGATTATAAACAACTGTGTGAAGCTTAACCATATTGCTTTCCTTTTTTATTGCCTTTGCCTTCTCTAAAACGTGAGGCAAGTACAAATTCAATACCATATCTTTGTGTTTCTTGTGAAAACTTAACTCGTATTGTCTAACTTCTGATCGCAGAGAGGTGTTATAGTCCCCCAGTTTTGGATTCCGATAATCTGATGATGATGCCGGAGGAACTTGTGTACAGGCTAATCTCCATTTCAGCTTTACATTTTCATAAAAATCCAAAATCTCTTCATTTCTGTCCAGGGTTATTTCTATAGTGTTGTCTTTCTCAGTTTTGCCCACCCTTAGTCTCTTAGTTGAGGTAGTTGTTGTTCTGACACCCAAGTACAAATGAGCAGCCTCAAACAGTTGGTTGGTTGAGAGCCCTTGGAATTCTTCAATAACAATGGTGAGTTGAGAAGACATATAATGAGAGACACTATGTAGGCTTGAATAGAAGTAGTGTTGAACTTCAATGGGTAAAAAATCATTAGCAATGCTCCGAACAAGCATTGCCGATGCAGCAAGCGAGGCTGCTGTCGACAAAACTTTCTCAGCTTGGGACATTTTATTTTGATTTTGATCTGTGGATTTGGTGTACAAGTTTTGGATGTTTGCTTTTTTCTTTTTCTAGGATGCCTAATGAGATTTATAGTTGGTTATGAAGAATAAAATATAGGGCGTTTGGAAGAAGTCATTGTAAAAAAATTTGACACCATGACTATTCTTTTCCTTCTTCACCGAGGGCTTGCCTGACCTGACTTTTCTGAACACCTTTAAAGAATGGGGTAAGTAAACTTTAGATGGCGGCTTTTGTCATATTACTAGCCCAATACTAAAACTAATATAAAAAATTATAATATAAAACGTTATATATTTTAGGTTTAGAATTTAGGGTAATGTTATATGTTCTAATTGTTATAAGTAAAAAGTATTCAACTAATCTTCAGGTCTTAAAATTGACAACCGGATAAATTTGTGACCACCTTTATTAGCAATTTAGGTGAATCGAACTCAATACTTCTTGAGTAATAGTTGACCGCTGAGCCACCTAATGGTGGTTGATGTTCAATGTCATTGTTATATTATTTAATTTAATTTTTTATTTTCTCTAACACCTTTCTTGTTAAGTCAATTTGTAAAATGTAAGGGGAATTTCAGTTATATAATATTATTTATATATTACACTAGAAAGACTCAGCACATAATTGTCAAGCCATGAATTTCGAGGAAGCTCCTTTTGTCTCTGTGGGTTCAAAGTCAGAAATTAGGTTCTGGACAGCAATAAATAATTGAAGTCTAGGAGGAAATTCGTTGGAAGCTCCCGAAAAGCAGAAGACATAAATGACATTTTCTTTTCCATATTTGCACAGTTCTTACAAATACTTTGTGCCTATTTTTGTAATTTACTTACAGAACGAATACAAATAAACATTCATGTTATTGAATGAGTAGTTTCAAATATTTGTTACTAAATTTGAGTTCATCTTAGTCAGGAATTTGAATTTTTACGTACTGAGCAGCATATTTTTAAATCTATATTATTAGATAAAATAGATCATAGTTACCTCTCTCCTTGTGACTGGATGAAAAACCTTTTAGTCACTAAGATTAGTTATATCTAACAAATCGGGTTTGTAGGGTGTTCTGTGGCCCTGAGGACCTTGCTGTCCATTGGGTTCAATTTTCACTTTTTCTAACTTAAATTGAATTAGCTCAATTATTAGATTCTGTTAATGGTTAATTTATTGTTTACTTTTATTTATTGGCCTATCCTTGTCAAATCTATATATAATTCAATTCAAGGTTTTGATGATATACTATTAAGTTTCATTTAAAGTGTTATTCTCTGTCAATAATCAGATAAAACTATCGACCCAGAAATTTTGGCAAGTTTCAAGCAATGCAATGATTTTCTATTTATCTTTTTCACAGACATTGCTCAATTTCTTTAACCGGCTCAAGTTAGGACCAAATTTTTTATGATTATATAAAGGTTATTTTTATATAAAGTATCACTATAGAGAAGTTCTATTGTATTTCATTCACCTTCCAATTTATTTTTATTTCCTTCATAGAATATTATTTTATTGTTGTATTATTTGTCTCTTTTCTTATACTAGTTCCCAAATTCAGTAGCAACCCTGCCTTCCCTCTCCTTAAAGCTCTGCTTTGTTGTTATGGAAGTGGATGTAGGAATTGAGATGCTCCTGGATGTCTTGTTGCTTCTCATTTATAAAGTGTTTTTATTAAGCAGGAGTCGATTTCTGCTCGTAGAGATAGTAGATGATGATGATGATTCACATGTGAATCCAGTGATTTCAGAACAAGAACCCCTTTTTGCATCACATTAAAACAGAAGACATGCCTCAATTCAAGAAGTTAATAATGTTGAACGGTGAATGGTTCTGATTGTCAATGGAGAATGAGAAACAATACAATATAGGGTTGTTTTAAGTTACAGTCAAGTGATATGCATTCTGGGAGTAGCTAAATATAATGCAAATTCGAAGAAGCTAAATATTGCGCATGGTTGAGAAGCTAAATCTCAGAAGAAGCTCCATTCTTTACATATTCTTTATGCTTAGACATCATATTTGATCTAAACCTTATACCTTTCATTCATGTTGTTATATAACTTTATTGTCAGTAATCTTGTGAATTTTTCTTCTATTGCGCTGCTAAACTCATCCATTTCATGTTAGTTTTTCGCTTTATCTTTTTCAGTCTTCTTTGCTTGAAGAAACTTGCTAAGGCCTTGGAGGGAAATGTCAGCACCACCGCACTTCCTCTTCATCAACTCCCCTGCTACTTCTGCTGGTGTAACCTCTACCTCCATAATGAGCTCTTGAATTTGCTCCAAAAGATGATGATGGCTAATCCCTAGATAGTTGAAGACAAGTTGCTCGAATACAGAAGTGTTGCAGTATGACATTGGAATATGCATGTCCATGCGTCCAGGTCTCAACAGTGCGGGGTCTAGTTTCTCTTTGTGATTGGTTGTGAAAATAATTATACGTTTTTCACCGCAACATGACCACAGCCCATCAATAAAATTGAGGAGGCCTGAGAGTGTAACCTGCTAAAAATGCCAAGACAAAATGTTCATCAGCAAACTAGTTCACAACTAGAACACATCATATGCACACTTTTGAGTTTCTTTCTATCTTTGTGACTCGAATAGCACTAACCTTGTCATCTCGTTGATTCTCTGATTGATTTTTTGATGAATCCTCTGATTCCCGATTTTGTAGCTTGATAGAGCAGTCGATATCCTCTATGACAAGTATTGATTGGCTCGGCATGCTAAGCAGCAAAACTCGAAGATCTGAATTGGATTGGATGTCTGTTAAATCCAAGTCATAGATGTCAAACTTTAAGTGATTAGCCATGGCTGCAATCAAGCTTGACTTCCCCGTGCCCGGNTGTATTTCATTCACCTTCCAATTTATTTTTATTTCCTTCATAGAATATTATTTTATTGTTGTATTATTTGTCTCTTTTCTTATACTAGTTCCCAAATTCAGTAGCAACCCTGCCTTCCCTCTCCTTATAAGGAGCTCTGCTTTGTTGTTACGGAAGTGGATGTAGGAATTGAGTTACTCCTGGATGTCTTGTTGCTTCTCATTTATAAAGTGTTTTTATTAAGCAGGAGTCGATTTCTGCTCGTAGAGATAGTAGATGATGATGATGATTCACATGTGAATCCAGTGATTTCAGAACAAGAACCCCTTTTTGCATCACATTAAAACAGAAGACATGCCTCAATTCAAGAAGTTAATAATGTTGAACGGTGAATGGTTCTGATTGTCAATGGAGAATGAGAAACAATACAATATAGGGTTGTTTTAAGTTACAGTCAAGTGATATGCATTCTGGGAGTAGCTAAATATAATGCAAATTCGAAGAAGCTAAATATTGCGCATGGTTGAGAAGCTAAATCTCAGAAGAAGCTCCATTCTTTACATATTCTTTATGCTTAGACATCATATTTGATCTAAACCTTATACCCTTCATTCATGTTGTTATGTAACTTTGTTGTCAGTAATCTTGTGAATTTTTCTTCTATTGCGCTGCTAAATTCATCCATTTCATGTTAGTTTTTCGCTTTATCTTTTTCAGTCTTCTTTGCTTGAAGAAACTTGCTAAGGCCTTGGAGGGAAATGTCAGCACCACCGCACTTCCTCTTCATCAACTCCCCTGCTACTTCTGCTGGTGTAACCTCTACCTCCATAATGAGCTCTTGAATTTGCTCCAAAAGATGATGATGGCTAATCCCTAGATAGTTGAAGACAAGTTGCTCGAATACAGAAGTGTTGCAGTATGACATTGGAATATGCATGTCCATGCGTCCAGGTCTCAACAGTGCGGGGTCTAGTTTCTCTTTGTGATTGGTTGTGAAAATAATTATACGTTTTTCACCGCAACATGACCACAGCCCATCAATAAAATTGAGGAGGCCTGAGAGTGTAACCTGCTAAAAATGCCAAGACAAAATGTTCATCAGCAAACTAGTTCACAACTAGAACACATCATATGCACACTTTTGAGTTTCTTTCTATCTTTGTGACTCAAATAGCACTAACCTTGTCATCTCGTTGATTCTCTGATTGATTTTTTGATGAATCCTCTGATTCCCGATTTTGTAGCTTGATAGAGCAGTCGATATCCTCTATGACAAGTATTGATTGGCTCGGCATGCTAAGCAGCAAAACTCGAAGATCTGAATTGGATTGGATGTCTGTTAAATCCAAGTCATAGATGTCAAACTTTAAGTGATTAGCCATGGCTGCAATCAAGCTTGACTTCCCCGTGCCTGGAGGTCCATATAGTAAGTATCCACGTTTCCAGGATCTCCCAATTCTTTCATAGTATTCCTTCCCATTCATGAAGTTGTCTAGATCCTCTATGAGGTCCTTCTTCAGCTCTGCATCCAGAGCAAGGCTCTTGAAGGTCATTGGGTGCTTAAAAATGGTGTCATTTGCATCCCATCGATCATAGTTAACTGTGTGAAGCTTAATCACATTGCCCTCTTTCTTTATTGCATTAGCCTTCTCTAAAATGTGTGGCAAGTACACATTTAGCACCGTATCTTTGTGTTTCTTGTGAAAACTTAACTCATATTGTCTAACTTCTGATCGCAGGGACGCATTATAATCCCCCATGTTTCCATTTCTAAACGCTGCAGGTGCTTGAACTTGTAAACAGACAAATCGCCATTTCAGCTTTACATTTTCATAAACATCGAAAAATTCTTCGTTTCTGTCTAGGGTGATCTCTAAGGTCTTCTCATTCTCAGTCTTGCCGACTCTAAGTCTCTGAGTTGAAGTGGCGTTCGTTCTCACACCCAAGTACAAATGAGCTGCCTCAAATACTTGGTTAATGGAGAGTCCTTTGAACTCCTCTATAACAATGGTGAGTTGCGAAGACATACAGCGCGAAACCCTGTGCAGGCCGGAACAGAAGTAGTCTTGAATTCCCGAGGGTAAAATCTCATTCGCAATACTCCGAATTAGCATTGCAGATGCAGCAATTGAGGCTGCTGTTGACAAAGCTATCTTCGCTTTAGACATTTTCTGATAAGCAGCAGCGGAAGGCTTGGCTCTAACCTTACGACTCCGACTCAAAGATTTTTATTAAAAAACCCTAAGCATAACATCCCTATTTAATAAAATCCTAATATTACTAAACCAATGAAATATAAAATAAGAAATCAAGTTTCGTTTAGGAAAAGAGATATTCCAGACTCCCTCTCTTAAAAGTAACTCATCCTCGAGTATTCTGAATGTTTGAGGATAAAAAGATGTACAGTCTCTGTGTGAATATCTGACTCTACTTTTCTTTTGCTTCTTCTCCAAGGGTCAAGGCAGTGGTAAACTGATGACTTTTTCTAGCATGTGAAAGTGAAAGAGAGAAGAATCTGGATCAACCCAATCAAATTTTTTTAATAGTTTTTTTCACAATATAAAAAGATTAATTAAGTATGCTTTTACGAAGGGCTGGGACTTTTAACTTAAATATTCAACTATTGACTTGTTAATATCAAGGACTGCCAATAATATGATGTGACTTTTTTACTTCTAATTTTAACCATTCGATTATCTGTATAAATTATTTAATTAAAAGATTTAATTGTTTAACTAAATATTGAACAAGATGATAAATTCTTTATACAATTATTTTTTATTTTACATTACAAACAATTGATATTACATTATAAACCAATCTACTTAGTATTAGTAATGTGAAATTCCAATAAAATCCACCTTCTTGCTCACTTTTGCCCTATAATTTCATCACTCTTGGTTCAACAAGAAACCAATAAGTGAAAAAATTGACATAATAATTGGTATAATAAGGTCTACTGAGAATAAATACAAATTCTTACCCCATAAATTGGTTTTGCATCATTTCAACTGCAGCTATCAGAGTTATTTTCTTCAGATCTCATAGAGGCTATATCAAGGAGATTTCCAAGCTCACCGAAACATTAACAAAGAGCAGAAATTTTCAATTAAACATAACAAACAAATTGCATCATCTGCAATATGCCAACAAACAAACAATCCAGAGATATTACACCTGCAGTATACCAATACATCTACATTCATATAATGCTAAAACTTCAATTAGAAAAAAGTGCAGAAGGTTGATACTTTGCACATAGTACTCCAACTCTGGTCTGAATTAACCGGGGCCAACTTTAGGGATGTCGTAATGCTCACTCATGTTTGCCAAATACTGGTTGAAATCTTGGATTCTATCACGATGAGATTTGTTAGCTTCCCTTGCCAACCTATTAATGTCGAGTCTCTCTCTCTGCTCAATGTATCGTCTCTCTGCAGGTGTGAGATGGTCATCATAAGGAGCAGCTTTCTCTTCACCAGTCAGTTTGTTAGGATCATCTATCTCTTTCTCACCAGGATCAGTTGATACTTCTGTGCTTCCACCTACAGTAAATAGCACATCAATAAATTCATAGAATAGTCATGAGGAGTTACAATAATGATAGGAAGATCCTACAAATGTGCAATACTAACCAAAACGCATATATTAGGCCAATGAAGTTGCCAAGAGTTTGGTCTTCAATACTTTTATACGTCTATTATAACTGCCACAGACATAAAATATTAATGAAAAGTCACTTATATCAACCACAGTGCCAATTATTGTTTTGACAGTACTGAATGGACAGCTATAAAATTCAAGTAACAAAGCCCAATTTATAAAATAGGTTCTATAGAAAAATTGCATATCTAGTATTCTTGGTGTCTGGTTCTTGTTGATTTCTCATGTGCACTAATTATCTTTGCACAATATCCTACACTTTCAAAGAATCGAACTCACATTCACCGATATATCCCTTAATAAAAAACATAACATCTGCTACTAAATCCTTTTATTTTTTTGCGTTTTATTAAGTGTTCCATTATTTACTTCTTTAATTGGGAATCTACCACCTACCCCAATCCACCTCACACTCATACCATTTGAGCCAAAGCATAAGGATGAAGTGTTGATCTAACTTATCAAACTTCAGCAATTCCATCTTGCCACTGACATAGCAAAAATACAGACTATCCAGATTATGGAACAAGACAAAAGAGGAGTTTAACCGTAATAAGTTCAGTAAAGCCAAAATTTCAGCAAATTCTAGTCATTCACACAGTTTCAAAACTGTACATTAACAAAGAGAAGAGAAAACTGCATCAATCTGTCTAAAGATAGTAGAGTCCTTTTATACCAAAATCAGATATTATAACTTACCAACAGAGAGTCAGATGTTATGATCATGTGGTTGTTTAACACTATTACTTAATCAAGGGTCTACCAACCACAATGGTGATTGCCTGATTGGAATTGTTCTAGTTATTGGTTGCAAGGAGAATGCTGCATTACTACAAGGTTTGGTGAACACGTATCACTTGGTTTAAGGTGAACAGAGGGAAATTAGAGACAAGAATCAGATGATAACATTGCTTAATTCATTTAATAGTGTTGCTTAATTAAATTTAAAGCAGCTAAGCAACCCCAGTGATTCTTAGGGCAACTGACATCATTCTAATAGGACCGTTAGGGATCTTATGGGCGGCAGGACAGAATTCCATATGCTTTGCACAAGAAGGGCCGTGTTGGGGGAAAGAGTGATACTGCAGATAAATAAACCATTGGTATCAAGGATGAAATAGCAGGGCAATTCTCTGTCACAACAAGATGTATTATTGCTTAATCAAGGGTCTTATAACTGTATAAACAGTGATTGGGAATAGGTTTAGTTTCCTCCACCCAATTAATTAAATAAGATCTTGGCTGCAAGAAGAAGACTACATCACTTCACTTCAAAGAGTAGGAGAATGCTATATCAACCTTTTCCTAGCGTTCACAGTAAGCAGAAAGTGCTTTGATAGAAGAATCAGAAATTATGATTTTGTGGTCATTGCCACAATGCTTGATCAAATCAAAGGTCTACTGACCCCAACGCTGAATGGAACTGCTATAGTTCCATCCGGCCCATTGCAGCTAAATATTCTACTGGTTGTAGGAGACCATTACATTAACTTCACTACAAAAGGTATGTGAGCAATCACTCTGTCTAAAGCCAGCAGAAAGAGGTTTCATACAAGAATAAGACCTATGATTATGCGGAGCTTATGCTAAGAATTAGAGCAGCTTCCACTCTTATATTTTACAAGCTACATCTATCTGCAACTAAAATAACATTGGCTGCAAAAGGGGATTGTGGCACAAACACTTGCAAGCAGAATAACCATCAATTGCAACAGCACTAGAAACACTGATGCTTTCAGATTTTTTATACATTGTCTTTTATGTGATAAACAAAAAAGATTACTTGCTGCAGGAAGCATCCCACTTGTCAACTAGACCATCTACGCCATTAGATGAGCTACAAAAGACATCTTTCATATTGATGCTGGCCCAGAAAAGAAAAAATATTCAAGTAAAATGAGTTATTAATTTCTTCTCCTACAGACGGGACAAAAATCTATCCTATACCCCTTATTACCCATGAACAAAAGGGGCATCAGGGCAAGATAATCAACACAACTTGAAAAATATACAACGTGAAACTCTCTCATGGATTTTACAATCATTAAACTAGAAAATCATGCCTTCTCTACCACCTAGGTTGGCATGCGCGCAGAGAAATAGGGATACAAACCTCCTTATGAAATGAATTAGACCAATTTTGAGAGAAAGCAAAAACTCAATTTTCACAGCTTATACACAAACAATAGTACATTAAGACTTGTATTTATTGAACTACTCCCTACACAAATTACATGCCATGATAAGGGAAAAGATAACAAACCTGCTCCGACATCACCTGCTTCGATGTCATCATCTACAACTTTAGTAATTTCATCATTATTCTTCTTATGTTTCTTTTTCTTCTTCGCCCCAGCAGCCTTCACACCCAAGGCTTTTCCTTTAAGCTTCAGTTTCCCAGTTACAACATTATCATATGATGACATTTTCCCTGTCAAATTACAAAAAAAAAAAAAAAAAAATCTGATCAATCTCTAAACCTCCCAATTTTATGTCTACAATTCTCAAACTTTGCACTAAAACCCCCAATTTGACTACAAATTCAGACGATTTCTACTCAACAAATTTAAATTCAAAACCCTTTGAGCATGGACACATATCTTTTCAATTAAATCACAAACCTAGATTGAGATAATCACAAATACACAAACTTAACATAAAACAACAGCCCCAGAAAAAAAATTATCTCCAATGAATGATAACACAATCAAATCAAAACAAAACCCTAAACTGGAACGAAAAATTTCGAAACTTTGTACCTGAAACAGCGAAGACTCTCCTCGCTTCAGTTTCATGAAAACCCAAGAACATAACAGGAAATTTAACTCGCCAACCTCCCAAGTTAATTTAAAAAAATAACCTTGAAAATTTTTTATAATTTTTTTTAAAGTTAGAAAAGCTTGCGTGGCACATTTAGGATTCATTAACCATATAAAAGGGGTTAAACTAAAAAGTTTTAAACATATGTGAGTAATATTATAATTAACGGAAGTTTGTTTAAATTTTAAAAATTAAAAACGACCCCTCCCTTCAAAATCGCTTAATTGAGTAGCATACCCAAAAAACAATCGACGAAACACCTTCGATTGCTCTACGATTTCTCTACGATTTCCGGCGATACAAGTTCCCTATTTCTAACCAATATTCGATTCTAAAGCTTCGTTACACAAAATCATTACTGATATTCACAAAGAGGAGGAAAACCTAACCCCACTTCAAATCCTAGATTTCGACGGTGGTAACTGTTCAAAGGTTGTTGAAGAAGACGCTCCGGTGGATTATCTGATGAGTGAAGGTGGTCCAGAGGTAGAGGCGACAACGGCGGCACAAGAACAGAGAGAAGAATCGAAAAATGGTTCTGAAGAGGAGGATGCCGATGAGAATTCAGGCGAGGAGGAGGACGCTAGTGAAGAAAGGGTACATTTTTTGCTGGTGGTTTTGAATTTAATGAAAAATTCGATTGGTTTGTGCGAATTTGGGGGATATGTAGTTAGTTTCATTGTTACATTGGTTGTGGTGTTTTGTCGAGTAGTTGATGGGTATCGAGGGAGTGGCTTTGCTTGGGTTCCAGAGGATGGGGGAAGGCAAGGGAGGCCGTAGGGAGGTTGTTTGTGGGAGGTTAGAGGGCTGGGGATGATAGCCACCTCCTGCCATCATCTAGTCATAGAAACTACCACAACAACCTCTGCAGGGCCTGTATTCTCGGGTCATCTCGAAGCCAAAAACACCCACTCTTCGATGCCCTCAAAGCCCATATCCCCCAAATTGGCAGCCTATTGGTTCTTTTGATTTTTTTTTTTTTTTTTGATGATATTTAGTTTATATCGATTTGCAATTTTCTGAAGCATAAATTATAAAGACTATGGGTTGGACGTTGTAAGTGATAAGGTACCGTACTTCCCCGTAAGGATGACAGTTAGGTCGAGCTGGCAAGTTTTTATGAGAATAATTGAGATTTTAGAGGAACAAAAGAAGGGTATGGACTAATTCAAAGAGAGTTGTTTCGGTCATTTTGCGGACATCGGAGAAAATTGGAAAAAAGGCGTTCTGGGGGCAGGCAGTGCATTATATGTTGCTGCATTTAGTTAAAAAAAAAAAAATGAAATGTGGTTCATGGTGGATGGGAAGCCACTACGTTTTGGGATGATGAAATATGCCCCGATGACAGGCTTAAGATGTGAGGCATTTCTAGGTGCGAAAGAGCAAGAGAGAATAATGAAGAGTAGGGTGGCTGATAACTTGGCTAAAAAGGTTTTTTTGTGGGGGAAAGACGTCTATTACAGTACACGATTTAGAGGAGAGGTTAGGAGAAGGTAGGTATACCTCTTCAGAGAAGTTCAAGATGTGCTTGGTATGGTTTGTGCATTCAATCCTAAGGGCTATTGACTCAACAAAAGTCGTTAATATGGATTAGGTGAAGTTTGCAAGCAACATGAACTTCTTTAATGCTTATCCGTGGGGACGAGTATCATTTCATCTTACCATTGACTCCCTGCGTGGAAAGAACATGGCGATAAAGCATCGCCAAGCTGTCAAGATGGATAGACCGAGCACGTATAATTTCTTCGGCTTCCCATAGGCAATTCAGGTAAATATTAATAGCTTTTTGTTATATTTTTTGTATTATATGTGTTTTAATTATGATATGGACTGTTTTTTTACAATGTAGGCTTTGATGTATGAGGTTGTCCCTGTCCTGGCTAAGGTGGGGGGAGAGGGGGGGAGGGGGGGGTATGGAAGAAGACTTCAGATGAGTGATCACAATTTCTTAGGATGTTGCGGTGGCACATCGATAAGTGTACCCATTGGGATTATGAAAAAATATAAATGGAAATTCAAGCGGCTTGAGTAAGATTAAATGATTAATCTTTTGAATATACACATGCTTTTAAATGTGGCTTAAATTTGGTTTATTTTTTTCTTATTGCAGGGAGTCGTCCGTCCCTTCCTCACCCCTACTAGGGGTGAAGTGGGAGAGGAGTATGTTACATCACTCGGAGCACTGGACGATGTAGCAGATGAAGGGATAGATCGCGTAATGCAGGACCTAGAAGGGGTCATGCATGTGAGTGCAGTTGTACGACCATTGCTTGAGAATGTTGTTGAGACCGAAGATGATAAAGGTCCAATCTGCAGGAGGGAGGAGAAGGAGGAGGATGAGGAGGATGAAGAGGTTTGTATGCCTCAACCCAATTGGCAAACTAGTACAACAAGTACAACTTTGCCTAGGCGTCGGGGTTGGGAGGAGAATGAGGTGGTTGACCTCATAAACGGTCTGTTTGGTAGTTTTACAACAACAGTTTATAAGAAGTTTGAGAAGATGGAAGAGCAGATGAAAAGGGTTGAGGAGAAAATTGACAAGGTGGAGGAGAAAGTTGATAAGGTGGCAGAGAAGGTTGGTAGGGTGGAGGAGGAAGTTGGTGGGGTATTGAAAGTAGTTGAAATGCAACCTGAGCATAAAAGAGGGAGCTGAAAGAGTAAGCACATAAAATCTCCTTACATGATAGTAACGTGTGGAAAGAAGAGGAAAACGAATAAAAAAAATGAGGAAGTCCGTGAAAGTGGAAGCAAAAATGAAGGAGGGTAAGGAGGAAGGCGAAGGAAGTGGGAAAGTGAAAATGGACGAGGGTGAGATGGGACGCGAAGAAAGTGGGGAAGTGAAAATGGAGGAGGGTGAGTAGAAAGGTGGAGGAAGTGGGCAAGTGAAAATGGAGGAGAATGAGGTGGTTTGAAAAGATGTTGACAATGGGCAGGTGGCTCGACGACTCAGTGAGTTATTTTCCCTTATTTTTGCTTATGTTTTCCATGAGGTGTTGTATACTTATCGTGTTGTTTTTATTTGATACAGCACATTGATGAGGTATTGGTACTTATGAGGCTACGATAGAGCAATAATGGTGATATTTTGTATCCGTATTGTGCCATCACTGATGTGGCCTTTGGCCAAAGGCTAGTAACTACATATGACACTTTAATGAAAAAGACCAATGGTTGAGGTGCAACAAGGGGAGGCAAGTGGAAAATATTCACCATAGATGACTTTGACAGTGTCCTTGATGATTTTAAGTTTGATGAGATGATGGTGCAGTATGTATAGGGGGAAAGGCCCAAATATCGCAACAGTTGGGCAAACGTTAAAAGAGTGTATTGCATCATGAACATCAAGGATTTGCATTGGATAACCGTCGTTTGGCTACTAGAGGAGGGCTTGCTGTAGATCCTTGATTTCAACCTGAGTATTTGTCGAGAGAGGCAGTTGGAGACAGAGTTGCAGCTACTGTGTATATTGTTCCCACGGCTATTACGTAACAGCGGGATGTTTCAGCACTTGGGTGATGAACTACTGACAGGAAAGTAGCCACGCAAGCGCCTTCCCATCCCGATAAATGACTCGAGGTAAATTTTGTATAAAACTTATATAATACAATTCTTCTATAAGTTGATTCTAATGCTAATGTCTTCCTTCTATTGTAGTGCTTGCAGGGCATATGCACTAAAATTTATTGCGTTAGACATGACCAACACCTTAATGGATAGGTTGAATGACGAAACAATGAGAAACTTTTGGGAGTGCTTAGCTGTTGAGTGCTTCCATCGGCATATGGATCTCTTTTAATTGACCAGAATCCAATCCAAGTCATTGTTGATGCTGTCATCAAAGGTTATGCAAGTTGGACTTAGAGTTCTGTAGTTTATGTGAAATGCATTTCTTATTGGGTTATCTTGAATAATTGGATTGTCTTGAATTGGATCAGCTGGTGTTGTTAGGCCAAGGGTGGATAATGTTGAAAGGGGTGTTGTAGAAGAAGATGAAAAGGTTGCTAATGCTGAAGCTGTGCTGGAAAATTTTGGAGGATAGGGAAGTTGCTGAAGAGAATGATGAAGAGGGAGGATGGAGGCTTCCAGCCCTGCTTTTATTTTAGGTGTATATATGGCATTTATTTGTTGTATATTTTGTTGTAATTTAATATAATTGACACATTTTAGATTTGTACAAAAGCAATTCAGTATTTCTTCTCGTCTTTTGAGTTTGAGTTTATTTAGTATTCTTATTAAATGACATTGATGTGTTGATGCAATTAGGTTGTCAAATTCAGGAGAAAAGATGGAATTAATATGTGTTGGTGATTTTAGTTTTTCAAAATTCAGGAGAAAAGCTAGAAAAAATATGTGTTGCCTATGATCGCTTAAGTGACTATATATATCGCTTAAGTGATCAAGGGTTTTCCATACATGATTGCTTAAGTGAGACATTAAATTGCTTAAGCGATCGTGCACTTGGGATGATCGTCATTCTACCTTAAACTTGATCGCTTAGATCGCTTAAGCGATCTGAAATCGCTTAAGCGACTAATGGTAAAAGTGAAGAATCGTTTAAGCGAGACCATAAATCACTAAAGCAATCGTGTATCTGAGATGATCTTGATTCTGCCTTGCTCTTGATCGCTTAAGCAATCCTAAATCATTTAAGCGACATTGCTTAAGCGATCCTAAATCACTTAAGTGACATCGCTTAAGTGACCAAGGTTAAAAGTGAAGAATCGCTTAAGCGATACATAAATCGCTTAAGAGAACGTGCATTTGGGATGATCTTGATTCTGCCTTGCACTTGATTGCTTAAGCGATCTCAAATCGCTTAGGCAACCAAGGCTAAAAGTGAAGAATCACTTCAGCGATACGTAAATCGCTTAATCGATCGTGCATTTGTGATGATCTTGATTCTGCCTTGCACTTGATTGCTTAAGCGACCAAGGCTAAAAGTGAAAAATCACTTAAGCAATACGTAAATCGCTTAAGCAATCGTGCATCTAGGATGATCTTGATTCTGCCTTGCACTTGATCACTTAAGCAATCCTAAATCACTTAAGCGACCA